TTAAGTGAAAATATATCAATGTGTACATGGACAAAGTCAAGGAAGTGCGCAATGCCAAGTTTGTGCAATTCTCCGATTTTTTTTTTGTTGTTAATCTTTGGATTATGGTAACTTGGCGATTTTTTGGCAAAAATTTGGCGACCAACCCTGCTACAGCAACCTGCTAGTTTTTGTTTGGACGCCATTTTGTTTTCACGAAGGAAAGGCATGTTTTTTGTTTTTGTTTTTTTCTTTACTCAACATTTTTTCCCAACAGTCTGCTAGCCGAATTACGCTTATGCTAGAACTGTTATGGAACAAAAGTGCTTAATCATGACGAAGATTAGGTGTGAAATTGGGAGAAAGTGAAGAATCGCAAACTGCTTGCCGCGTTTTTAAGAATTGCACATACACGGTTACCATGTACACGTCGACCTATTTTCACTTAAAAAAACATCCCAGAATTGCACAAAAGTGGCATTGCACACACTCTTGACTTTATCCATGTACACTGCTAAAGTCCTAGCTAGTAACCTTTCTTGCCTTACCAAAATGTCGCTAAACTACCCGTTACCATATTCCAAAGATTATACTTTTTTTTTAGTGAAAATAGGTTGACGTGTACATGGATGCCAAGTTTGTGTTGCCGCTACACAAAGATAAAATAACAAGTCAAAGAATTGCACAAACTGGATGTCCATGTACTGCCAAAAATCGCCAAGGGGAACGTGTAAAAATATTTTTACCAGAGTTTCATATGAGACCATTCAATCAAACAAAATTTAAACTGTTGTTTTCCCCCGTGCACACAGTGATCTGTACAAACTTTTCATCCATACAACTTCAGACTGGTGCTGACTGGCACTCAGCATCAGTCATAACATATGTGTGCTACATCCACACACACACACTTGGGTTGTCACACCAATAATTTTTGCCAACACAACAGGTTGCCCCGTAGCTACTTTGACAACATACTGCTTTGTTTCATGAATACTCTTTTGTCATTATTTGGCGGAGGTGCAGATAACCAGAAAGTACTGTAACAGTTTCAAATTATAATATCATAACTTTTGTCATAGTCTATGTGATCAGAAAAATGACACATGCAATGACTTACAATTTTACAATGAGAAGTATTGAAAATTTCCTTCTTGATAAATGGAAAACAATATAAATACTAATGTAACTAATATAAAAAGTATTGCATTAAATTTTGAGCATTTGATATAATTTTGACAAAGCAAAGTTATCAATAATTTTTTAGAAGCTACTTGATCACTTAATTCATATTCTATACAAACAATTACCATATTTGAAAATTGTTCTTGATCATCTGAAGCTCTTTATTATTTTAAAATTATTGAAACTTCTTTCCACACTAGCAAAAGTAACTAGCAACAATATTCTTGACGTTGCTTTTATTTTTGAGAGATCTAACCTTGTAGCAGCTCAGTTATAAAACTAAATATTTCTGACTGAATTTTACAGCATTTATATATTTAGATTACAAGTTGCTTCCTTTAAAATGTTGAAATCTAATAAAAAAATTTTTCCCTGTTAGAAAATGTGGTACTATTCCGTTTTGAGGACCCTAAAAAATCGCCAAACTATTTTTGATGCCAGTGCTGCCAAAAATAATTGTGGCAACCCTAACACAAGAAAGGAATTATAATAGTAAATAACTATCTAAAGATTATTGTTTTTATTTATATGAAAGGTTAATTTCATGTAATACTTTTTATAATTTATATAAAAAAGGCTAAACATAACTGAATGGAAGCATAAGAGTAAATACCTATTTCAGATCATTATTATAATTTATATAAAAAAGGCTAAGCATAACTGAATGGATTCCTGCATCGCTATTTCGCTATCGAGTTATCGCTAAAGCATAATTTCATCTCATTGTTTGTTCAAACATAATTTTCTATAATGAATGATGCCTTTTCTCTGAAAAAATTATATTGCAGACTTTTCGTCATGGGCAATTCCCCAATTGATAAATCTATAGGATATCAAAAAAAGGATTTAAAAATTAAACTAGTATTTCAATGGCGTCTTATGAAATATAGAACTATCTAAACTTACGCAATTTGAAATCACTACGTACACTAGATTTGGCACTTTTGCGCATACATTTTCGCTGCAATATTTCACGGTCCTCAAAATGGAATAGTACCAAAAATGTAAATCAGAAGATACTTATGTATGTCCACTTCGGTTATGAGGTTAAAATATTAAACACTTTTTAAATTTCTATTGTGAAAAATATTTTTCCTGAAAAATTAGTTTTCTCATCTATTGATTCTTGACAATCTGAATTATTACAATTTTCTTTCTCTTCATTCTGCAAAAGCATTATCTCTAAAGCTAAATTATTATATTTCTCAACATTCTGAAAACGGTTTCTCTGATCTACTACAATGAAAGATACAATTCCTCTATTAATAATATGGTTGATCTTTACATTATGGTAACTGGTAGTTTGGCGACATTTTGGAGGCGATAAAGGTTACTACCTGGGACTTTGGCAATAATGTGAGCAGTACTGAGTTCCGATTACGCATTATTTTGTGTGGGGGAAATGAGAGATCATGGGATATGTCATGTGATATTAATGGACGAATTACGGTTCTTTAATCGGAAAAGGGGGGAAATCGGGAAAAAATCTGGAAATTTTGTATTTGGCTTTATTCTGTGTTGTGTGAAATAGTGTTTGTTGAATTTTTGGATCCCATGGCCGTAAGTAAAGTGAATTCGAAATGGGTATTTAGTGGTATTGAAAAGGATAGTAAGAAATGTTTTTTAAGGTTGTGTGAGAGAGAAATAAACATGTTTTATTATGTTATTTATTTTACCTGGTATCTTGCTTTGAAAGATAAGTATGATTTTAAAGATTCTGAAAGAGAATGAAGAAAAGTGTATCCGCCACGTAATGAAGATTCTGAAGGAGATTAGGTAAGTTAGTATTTTTAATTATTTTTATGCATTGTTGGAAATGTAAGGTGGAAAGGAATTTGGTATTATTGGGAAAATTGTTATTAGCAGTGATTTAGTTTAAAGTAATTAGGATTGTAAGGTAATTTTTATTAATTGAATGTATGTGCTCATGTATATTTTAAGTGGTGTTTTTGAATTTAATTATATTTTAATGAAATGATAGTTATTTTGTGAATTTTATACTTGTAGGAATTTGGTGTATGTTTAAGTTGAAATAAATGTGCATGGAAATAATTTAAATATTTGATAATAAGTATTTGTAATGCTTCATGTATGAATTCGTTGGTGACATGTATAATGTAATAGATGATTTAGAGGTAAAAGTTTTTTGGATATTTTATTTATTTTATATGTGGAAATGTTCATATTTGTAAAGGGTAAATACTTTTTCGCGATCATGTAATTTCATATATGTTCTTTTTACCGGGTTTAAAGATTGAGAAAATTGTCATGTATTTTCGTGAAATTTTTTAATTTATGAGATAAAAAAGCAGTGTACATGGATATAGTGAAGAGTGTGCGAATGCCATTTTTGTGCAATTCTGGGATGTTTTTTAAGTAAAAATAAGTCGACGTGTACATGGTTCAGTGATATTTTAATGAAATGATAGTTATTTTGTGAATTTTTATGCTTGTAGGAATTTGGTTTACGTTTAAGTTGAAATAAACGTGCATGGAAATAATTTAAATATTTGATACTAAATATTTGTAATGCTTGCATGTATGAATTCGTTGGTGACGTGTATAATGTAATAGATGATTTAGAGGTAAAAGTTTTTGGATATTTTATTTATTTTATATGTGGAAATGTTCATATTTGTAAAAGGTAAATACTTTTTCGCGATCAGGTAATTTCATATATGTTCTTTTTACCGGGTTTAAAGATTGAGAAAATTGTCATGTATTTTCGTGAAATTTTTCTAATTTATGAGAAAAAAGCAGTGTACATGGATATAGTGAAGAGTGTGCGCAATGCCATTTTTGTGCAATTCTGGGATGTTTTTTTAAGTAAAAATAAGTCGGCGTGTGTGTACATGGTTTATGTGTATGTGTTATTTTGAAAAACGCGTAAGGAGTATGGTATTGTGCACTTTTTCCGAATTTTGCAGTGAATATTTGTCATGATTAAGCAGTTTTGTTTGATAAAATTTCTAGCATAAGTGTAATTCGGCTAGTAGATTGTTGGAAGAAGTGTTCAGTAGATAAGAAGAAAAGAAACATGTCTTTACTTCGTGAAGACAAAATGGCGGCGGGGAAAAAAAAAAATAGAGGCTTGCTGTAGGGGAGTTGGTCGCCAAATTTTCGCCAAAAAATCGCCAAGTTACCGTAATGTAAAGATCAACCAATAATATCATTCCTCTTAATTATATAATTATTAATTCTAATAATAATACCATTCCTCTATATACAGTTACAATTTGTTTTATCTTATGGCTACATTTACCTTTTCTGTTTCTTGCAGTATTAAATTCCTCATATGCAACAGATATAAAAAATTTAACACTGATTTGCTTCACAATATTACTTTTGAGCCACTGTAATGATTTATCATTTAATACCTTGCTTTTAATAACCAATTTATTTCAGTTATTCTTAGGTACAATTCTCTGACAAACTTTGCTCATAATGTGTTCTTTTTAATATTGTTTTTACAATCGATATATGTGCCTTCTGTCTAGTTTCAAAGGTCTAAAATATTACAGACCCTCTGTAATAATTTCCAAAAAGTATTAACATGATGAAATTTGTAAGAGCAATATTTTTGTACACTAAATTCAAACTAACAGCCCAAACAAGAAATTTATTTGGCTTGACAACTGATGTGGGAAATAAGAGCTAATATATCTTTATACAAGTCAGTTCTATTGTTTGGTCCCAATATGTACTTGAATTTGAATATTCTGAATACTGAAATCATCTTTTTCTAATTAATAATTTTGTTTGCTAACTCAGCACCACCAAATTTGAGGCAGTAAACAAAACAAACAAAAAAACATAAAATTTAGAGAAATGTATACCTGCTGATCCTGCAGTTAAATCAATAGCAGCTGTAATAAAATGCTTATACATATTTTCCACTTTTAAATTCGGGGGCTGCTTTGCATGCAGCATTTTCTGAAACAAACAGAGAATACATCAGTTCATGATAAAAGAATTAAACATAGCAATCATTAGCTAATTTTAAAGATAATATATTTTAAAAGAAAGATATAAATTATCTAATAATTTTATATCAAAGACAGTACACCAATATAGTTTAAATAACGAATGACAATCGAAAACTAGTTAGTTAGTTAGTTAGTATTTAATTATGGCAAAGCACACTAGGGCTATCTGCCTAAGGGGAGGAATGCCTTTCGTGGAGGACTTTCTAAGGGAAACTGGCTCGTATACACGTTACACATGGGGAAAACCACGAAAACGCCCATGCAGCCAGCCCGTTCGCGGGATTCGAACCTCGGACCGAACTACCAGTGTTCAGCGTCTTTACCGCTCGGCCGCTGGTGGGCCAATCGAAAACTAGAGCAAAGATTTCGAAGTTTCATTTCTCAATACTTATAGATTTTTCAGCATTCCTAACTATAGTGCAAAAATTATTATGTTACATAAAGCTCTTATAAGGTATATTTCAAAGGATTGAATTTACATATAAAATATAAACAACCGATATTTAAAAAAATTCTGAATCAAATTAACTTAGAATAACATGTAAGCATTTTTTAAAAACAATATGTAATTTTTTTTAGAACTTACAATATAATCAAAACCAACAAAAAAACTAAAACCAATTCAAAACATATTATTTACAACATGTGCTCCCATGTTTAAAAAAACAAACAGCTGCAATTGATTGATATGTGGCGCCCTCCCGTGGCTCTCTTAAGGCGTGTTGGACAGCGTGAACTTCCGGTTCCCAGTTCTCAATGGGTTTCGCAAAATTTATCACTAAAAAGCGATCGCCTTTAGAATAAAAAAAGTATATTTTATTATAAAATCTCATTATTTACTATAGTATTATAGTATGGTACGTTATTGCGCATTACTAGAGCCCTAGTTCATACTAAGGCAGGTTCTGGCTTGGCAGCTCTGTAGAAAGAAAAGGTTAGCTCACTTGGGGTAAACAAACGAAAATGCGTTCTCGCCGTCTATTGGCTGTGACGTCAGTGAAGTTCTCTCTCCTCAGATCAACAGAGATTTTCGCATTAAGCTGAACGTAAACTTATGAGCGATTGTGGAAACTGATTAGTTTTTTTTTTTTTTTTTTTTTTTTCGCTCTCAAATATAATTAAATTTATATAGTATTGCATTATGCACCAATAATGCAGGCAAAATAAAAAATAATCAGCAAAATGTATCATTTCTTAGGTATAGAAACTTATAGTGTGTTTTGGTTTGATCTAATGTTTAAATAGTGGTGATATAAGTTCATTTTGAATTTTCGGGTTACTTAAATTAATTGATTCATTAATATATGTAGAACTTCTATGCATTGTATTAGGTATATTTAAATGCCAACGGTCTTCAATATTGTTGTGAATTGTGACAAATGCATATAAATATAAAGCATTACTTATCAAGTAACAACATTTTTACTACTGAAGCAACTCCCAGCTATGGCTGCATAAATGTTGAACAGAAATGTTTAGTGATACATATATCTCCATGGAAGCCATGACCAGGGTCTGAAGTGGCAGACCAGACAGCAGCTACTGAATTATTTTAAAAAAAGTTACATGGGCATACAAGTCCTAGTTTTTATGCATATCATTTTAGATTTTACGATCAGAGTTTTTATGGAGGTAAAAAGCATCAAAACATGTCATATACTGCAAGGAATACAGTATTACATAGCATATAATTATATAATATCACATACACTTTCAGTAATCCAATGTAAACAAAAATACCATAAGCTTAGAAATGCATAATAAAGAAAACACTATATCATGAATAACAGGGAAATTTAAATCTATGTTAGCTTATTACAATTTGACTAGATCACATTAAGTTAATGCGATACTAAAGATACAGTATCGCATTGATTGAAATTACACTGGTTATAAATGCATCTATGGCTAAAATCAAAATTCACAAAATACAGCGAGTTCAAGGGTGTGTAAGTACAAATCTATTAAAGATACATAGTTCTAGCAATCTGCATGTTTTACCCCGATGCATACAAGGGTGTTCACCGAGGGAATGGAGGCCTTTGTGAAGGCCTTTTTAAGAGAAATTGCCTTTTATCCCTATTACACATGAAGAAAAACATGAAAACTCCCATGCCATCCAACCCATTCATCAGGATATGAACCTGGGTTGACCTACCAGTGTTAGCAAGTTAAATGCTGGGCCACAGTGGGCATTGGTGAAATGTTGCACATACTTACAAATACAGTATATGTAATAACACTCCATACATAAAATACCATATGTACGGTTATGTATTATAAATAAGAAAATATCTGATACAATTCCTTCAGTACTCTTATGTGCAAGCATGTTATATTATGCATTGCTTGTAAGTGCAAATAGCATTAATATATAGCATTACTATATATGTACAAACAGCAATTATACTAATGCAATTTGTAATATTATAAATATCATTACAGTCAAAAGTCGTTAATCCGGACTCGTTGGGACTTCGGCGATTCCGGATTATCGATTTTTCCGGATTATAGATCATCAGTTTAAATCTCGTAAGATGGCATGCAGAAATTCTAAAATTAAAAATATGAAACCGTAATTTATGAAATAAAGAACAATTATGATCTAAACGGTATCAAAATTTGCAAAAAGAAAAAGCTTAATATTTATTTGTTTACTTTATTAAACATTTCTTTCAATGTAAGTTGTTTAAGTTTTGCTTCGTTTCATGTGATAATACTTTCTCTTTAATTCTATTAAACAACATAATTTCTTGTTCAGTTACAAAGTTCCGCTGTTCAAGTCCTATAATTGCTGTGTCAAGAACACCGACTAATTTGTCAATCGAAATTTTTTCGTTTTCAATAACCTCTGTTACTTTTCTTCGCTATCGGAAGCGAATTATAATGATGAGAAACTTGTTTTAAATCATATCAAAGACGGAGCATATCGAGATGAAATACTATATTTGGTAAGGAATTATAAGCCAAATAAAATAAAAACATCTGCGCTGAAGATAAGGATAGTGCTGACAAATCAACTTCCAATTCATTACGCGCCCGCCGCTGCGTTCCCCCCGCCGAGCAGCGTGAAATTGATAAACAGATTTCGGATTTCAAAACATACTTTCGCTTTAGATCCTTTACATATTAACAAATATATATCGGAAATTCTATTTGATATAATCGAAAGTTTAAGCTTACTTTTATAAAATTGCTCTTACAGTCTGCAAAAAATAATAAGCCGGATCCAATTCGAAAATTAAGGAACAACGCAATCATCAACATTAACTGAAATAGATAATTAGATAATTTTAGCTTATACGTCTATTATACATAAAACGCGCACGCGAAAACGTATTCTGCACTTGCGCACACTCATATGCGCAGTCGTAAAAGGTCTTACGCGCACGCGTAAACACCTATGCGCATGTGTTAGCGCGGCGCATGCGCAGAAAGTTTTTAGTTTTGAGGTCCGAATTATAGATCATTCCGAATTATGGGTGTCCGAATTAACGACTTTTGACTGTATTATATGTACAGAAATTTATACTTGAGTTTGAATATATTAAATGCAAGTGATGCTATGTACATAAATGCACTGAGTGTTTAAAAAAAAATAATTGTAAATATTGTGTACCATTAGTATAGTATCAGGTAGTCATAATTCTTTGTGTTTAGGCCTTTCTCATTTTATAATAATCAAAGTACACAGTAACATGTAGACTGTAGCTATACTTGAGTGTTGTTAAACTGAATGTAAATAAAAATATGTAGAGTAGAGATATATATAATAATATTACATAAAATACACACAGTACCAAATATGCTTAAATAGTTTTAAATAATGTGTATGTAACTCACTGCAATAACTAACTTGTGTTACACATGGAAAAACGGCCATGCAACCAGCCTATTCTCCAGGAATTGAAGTCAAACCACCAGTGTTCAGCTGATGGGCCTCCTCAATTACTTCGAATTTGAGCCTATTTTACTGTTAATAAGGTACATACCAGAAATAAAATATCAGTAATACACGGAATACATGTAAGTAATAAGAAGGACTAGCAACATTGCAGAGTACAGAAAACAACATATTAGAAGTCCACAATTCAGTTGGCGAGCAAATTAAGTTGTATTATTATGCTTAAAGCTATCAGTTCTGGATAATTTAGTTACAGTAATTTTGCAAAGCTAGTAAAGCAGTTCCTTCAGCAATCTTAATTTTCTAATTATCAAGGCTTTGTTCTTTCATATTATTTGAAAACAGAGTAATACACAGCATGCATTTAAACTTAAACCTATTACATAAAATATACCACACATAAATATATTCTACTTTTATAAAATATATATGAAACCTTATTGTATTAAGTACTATTCCAGGAAATGCTAATTACATAATACATGTAAAAGTAGATACAGTAAATACATGTAAAAGTTAATGCATAAAACAAGCATTAAGGGCTTCCAGGCAGGCCTAAAAGTCGTTAATCCGGACTCGTCGGGACTTCGGCGATTCCGGATTATAGATCATCAGTTTAAATCTGGTAAGATGGCATGCAGAAATTATAAAATTAAAAATATGAAACCGTAATTTATGAAATAAAGAACAATTATGATCTAAAGGGTATCAAAAAAATTAAAAAAAAAAAAAAAAAAAAAAAAAAAGCAGCTTAATATTTATTTGTTTACTTTATTAAACATTTCTTTTAATGTAAGTTGTTTAAGTTGCTTCGTTTTTTATGTGATAATACATTCTCTTTAATTCTATAAACAGACATAATTTCTTGTTCAGTTATAAAGTTCCATTGTTCAAGTCCTGTAATTGCTGTGTCTACTGACTAATTTATGAATCGAAATTTTTCCGTTTTCAATAACCTCTGTCACTTTCTTCGCTATCGGAAGCGAATTATAATAACGAGGAATTTGATTTAAATCATATGAAAGACGGAGTACATCGAGATGAAATACTACATTTAATAAGGAATTATAAGCCAAATAAAATAAAAACATCTGCCCTGAAGATAAGGATAGTGCTGACAGATCAACTTCCAATTCATTGCACACCCTGGCATTAAAGATAAACAAAGTTTAGATAAATAAACGTTAAAGTTTAGATAAATAAAGGATATGCCTTTATCCATTTTTTGCAGCAATTCCACTTTTTGTTTAATGAACTTCGAAACATACTTTCGCTTTGTAGATCCTTTACATATTAATAAATATATATTAGAAATTCTATTTCACATAATCGAAAGTTCAAGCTTACTTTTATAAAATTGCTCTAATAGTCTGCAAAAAATAATAAGCCGGATCCAATTTGAAGATTAAGGAACAACGCAATCTGCAACATTAACTGAAATAGATAATTTTAGCTTAGCTTATACTGTCCATTGTACATTGTACACTCGTAAACATATTTTGCACACGCGCACAAGCATATTCGCAGCCGCAAAGGTCTTACGTGCATGCGTCAATGCGACGCATGCACAGAAAGTTTGTAGCTTTGAGGTCCGGATTATGGGTGTCCGAATTAACGACTTTGGTGTGCACATTGTGTCATCGAGCAGATAAGTACAAGTTACATTTGCTCTGATCATTTTCTTGTTACGGATTTTGAGCGGGATATGAGAAATGAGTTACTGGGACTTCCAGTGAGAAGAACATTAGTACAAAATGCATTTCCTTCTCTAAAGATTAAGCCAGAGAGAACATTTGCCATGGCTAATGAACGCTCACAAAGGATGCAACTAAAGGAACAAAAAGAAGTGTGTATATGTTTGATAATTATGTATTTCAAAATATCTCAACAGAGATCTTCAAATAAAATTTATGTATTTGTGAAACTATTTATTATTGTAAATGAAACCTTTTTAAATATTTTTCTTGTAATTTTAATGCATAGGTCCAGAAAAGGTGTCTTGAAAATGCAATGCAGTTTGCTGAATCTACTAGCAGTGCTGCTTCCTCAGGTGAAAGAATTGAGCCCCTTCCAACTGAATTAAACCCAGAACCTGATTACAGGCAGTTGTATCATGAGCTCCAGCAACGCTGCATAAAAGTAGAGAAACAGAATTAGCATTGAAAAATATTGAGTTGGAAAATCTTAGGAAAACTCAAACACTTGAAAAAAGAGAAAAACCAAAGCTAAAATCTGTTATTGAAGAATTAAACTCTTGCAAAATGCAGCTTAAAAAAGCTGACAAATTATCCAAATCCAGACTCAGAAGTCTTAGAGAGGAAGCAAATAAGACACTGCAAACAATTTTCACTGAGAACCAAATTAAGATTCTTACTGGTAAACAAAAGTATGTTCATTGGACTAATGATGAAATATCAAATGCATTCACCTTAAGATACCTGAGTAGGAAGGCATACATTTTTGTCAGGAATAAACTGCAGTACCCACTGCCAGGTTTGTTCAAGTCCAGTTTCTTAAATTTTATATTGATAATTGTTTTTTAGTTCTAATCATTCTTCCTTAATGTTTTAAAATCAGCAACTAAATGCAAACCTTATCAATTGTAAGTTATTAGCTAATCATATATTAATGGTATTTTAATATTGATATAAAATAAAAAATATTTTCCTCACTGCTGCAAAATGAATTATATATAAAAATGTAATAGCATATGATAGTTTTTTTTTTTTTTTTTATAATTTTCCAGGTGTGAGCTCCTTGAGAAGATGGGCAAGAACAATCGAAATGAGGCATGGTTTGCTATCAAGCATTCTTCGTATTATGGAAGTTGCTGGTGAAAATCTGGACAATTTTCAAAGGCTGACAGTTTTGTCATTTGATGAAATTAAAGTTGAAAAAACTTTAGAATATGATGCAATAAATGATGAAATTGTTGGGCCTTTTTCACAAATGCAAATTGTAATGGCACGTGGATTAAATAGTAAATAGAAACAGCCAGTTTTTGTTGATTTTGATCAAAAAATGACCCAACAGATATTAAATAATATCATATCTGCTTTGAATGATATAAATTACAAAGTTGTGGCATGTGTTAGTGATTGTGGAGGTGGGAACCTGGGTCTAGTTAAAGACCTTGGACTTACATACGAAAACCCACAGTTTCAGCTGCCAGGCATAGCTTGGAATATAGTATATTTTCCAGATGCTCCACATCTACTAAAACTTATACGTAACTGGTTACTGGACACTGGTTTTATTTTAGGAAATGGTCAGAAAGTCTCCAGAGAGCCATTAGATGTTTTAGTTGATGTGACTTCATCGGAATTAAATATATGCCATAAAATAAATAATTCCCATATTAATTGTGAAGGCAGTCAACGTCAAAACGTTAGAATGGCTGCACAGCTCTTATCACGCAATACAGCAAAGGCCTTGCTTCATTTACAACCTGGCACAGATAAAGAACTGTGTAAAAATACAGCGTATTTCATTCAGCTTGTTAATGACTGGTTTGAAATGATGAATGTATACCACCCAGCTACGGGCATGACATCTCCATCATTTAAATTAGGCTATGGCCAGGATTTGGAAACTCAAAATAAGTTCTTAAATGAATTTTATGACATAATTAAAAACATGAGATGCATTACTAAGGCTAGATTACAAATATTTCAGAAAGGTATTCTAATGTCAATAAGTGCACTTAAATGTCTTTTAGCAAATGTAAAAGAATTTAGTATGGCATACATTTAACATCAAAGCTGAATCAGGATGCACTGGAAAATTTATTTTCACAAATTAGAAGTCGTGGAGGGCTTAATGACCATCCGTCTCCTCTTAACGCTTTATATCGACTTCGAATGATTATTTTGGGAAAGAATACTGGTCTTGTGCATGCAAATACAAATACTGAATACACAAACCAGGAAGAATTTATTTTAGGCATCTGCATTTAAATCAGCAAACATTGAAACTGAAGGATGAAGGAGCAGAAGAATTACTATCAGACAAATTAAATAGCATATCTGATTTTCATGAATCTAGTGAAACAGATACTGCAAGTGAAACATTATCATCTCCAACAAATGAATCATCACCAGTGGCTGAAACATCTGAAGATGCTTTAATGTATCTAGCTGGATGGATTGCTAGAAAATTTAAAATCAAGTATCCTGATCTTGGGCAGATAACTGGCAGTCAAGTAACAGACCATGACTATGCACCACCACCTTGGATTATTCATTTGTCCTATGGTGGCTTGACTATGCCATCACAAAATTTTAAACATAAAATTTTGCGCTTAGAAATGCTGTTAAAGAAATTGTGGAAGGATGAAATTCCTAAATGTAAAGTTATACAGGGCACAGTAAGAAAATTAGTTGAGAAAATGGAAGGAGAAGGTTAGGGAAGAGATGTAATTGAAGCATTTGTAAAGCAGAGAATGTTCATTAGAATGAAATATAAAAATACGAATGAAAAAAAAAATTAAAATTGAAGCAAAAATTTAAGAAATTAACAAAATTTAGGAAATGTATAATTTAAGAATATAGAAAAGTTTAAAAAAAACAAATATGCCAAAATTCTTGTAAAATATAAAATTTCATTTTCCATCTGTACTTATACTTTGTAATGATTTGTATTATGAATGAATAATGTAACTTAAGCAAATATTTTATTTATTATAGTTTTAAAATATGCATTCCTTGACTATACAGTGCATCATGATATATTTCATATTTCATTTATAAAATTAAGATCCATATTTACTAAGATTTTGTTGAATGTAGTGTTTAAAATTTAGTACCAATTTTGACTTTTGCATTTAATTATATAAATTTACCAGCAAAATGTGCAAAATATATTTGTTGGTATCTACAAATGTAATCATTATGTCTGTGGTGATATTGTATACAGGTCATCATACTAAATAAACATCCACCCTTTTTCCATGTGTTCACAGAAAGTACAATGACAGTCAAATGATGTTAATATAAATTGCATAATGTTTTAATGAGTGCATTTATCTGTGTATGAATAATATTTGTCCCCAACTAAACTGATAAACTCTAATTTTTTTATTCATAGAATGGATAAACTGAATATGTTAAATGAAATGTAATATTTAAGTTATTATATAAAAAAAATTTCTTTTTTAATACCAAAACAAACACATACAGCATTTAGTCCTATTAATATCTAGGATTTACTTCCCTGAAATAAAAAATGAGGATAACAATTCAGAAAATGACTACATGCTTCATTTCGTTATTATTTTTATACATTAAATAATACATAAGTGAAATAAATATAGAAACCTAAAAGATAAAATTCTAAATATACAGTATTAATAACAAAAAATAATAGAGGATATGCAAATATTCTTTGAATATCTTTTACTTATATTTTTAATATAAAAAGTTAACATCTTCTATCTGAATACTTTTGGAAAATTTTATTTTTTTATGCTTGCTAAAAAGTAAAATTCAAAGGATTAAATGTAGTCTCAATTTTTATATAGAATTACATGATGCAGCTGCTGAATTTAAAAGTATGCTGATTAAGTATTACACTTCCTTTCAGTTATAGCTTGAATAGTTCATTTGTCCATGTTTCTTGTTGCTGCTTTACATCAAGAAATTACAAACATGCTTTAGAATCTAGTGACTTATAATTTTATGCAATTTCTTTTTTATCTATTAAAATTAATCATATATTACAGGAAAAGCTTATGCGAGTTAATCTGAAAAAAAAAAAAAAAAAAAAAAAAAAAGCCACAAGTAAACTAAGATTTCTAAATGAAACAAGTACTGCAGAAACAAATGGACCCAAAGTAGGCTTTAGCAAATTAAAATAAATTTAAATTTCAGCCAAATTAGATTCCAAACATTAGGGACAAGTTTGTACAGCTTTATAGAATAAATGTTCTTAATTTGAACTTCTTCTATTGCAACATTTAAACATCACTACGTATTTTCCAGTTCTTGTGAAATGTGGGTTTTCAGTCTGTTGAAGCTAAAATGAGTAACGGTATAAACAGCTGAATCTTGAATAGCAAATTCTGTAAGGAAGTTTGAAAGACTTTCGGATGAAACAATAAATTACTGAGCGAACGTTTCGTAATTAAGACTTATTCTACACAGTAAAGAATATTTTAGGTAGTTAAGTTTCGACTCCAAATATTCGAATTTTTACTTTTCCGATGAAAAACAGAAAATATTTTCAAAAGGAAATACGAAACTACTATTAGGAGATGATACAGTGAACTTCAGTGACATCACAGCCGAACGAGTCGCTGGCTTTTCGTTTGTTTAATCCAAGTGAGCTAACCTGTTCTTTCTACTGACCTTGGCTGATACTGTCCTGTCCGTTCCTTTTTGCCGTGGCGGAGTTATATGGCGGAGACAAGTTTACGGTTGTCATGTGTGTCGTGCCCCCGTTGGCGGGGTCCGTGCGCCTCTAAAATTACCACTGCTCTTTTCGCTGATGATACTGCAATTATTATCCAAGCTTCTACTGTTACTGTTGTCCAGCTCCTTCTTCAAGATTACCTCAATCACCTAGAAAATTGACTCACTCTTTGGAGGATTGCAGTTAATAACAAAAAAATCGAAAGCAATAATTTTTCGCAAAGGCCAAACAAATTCCACTCCACCTAGACTTCTTCTGTTTGATGAAGAAATTGACTTGGTTGACGAAGTTAAATATCTAGGAGTCATTCTTGATAAAAAAATTTTTGACTTTTCAGAAACATCTCAGGGAAACTGTGAAAAAAATTAATATCACGCTTTCAACTACGCGCCCACTTCTTGGCAGAAGTCATATATCCGTTTCTAATAAACTCCTCTTATATAAATCTATACTTCGACCAGCATTACTCTGTGCTAGTCCTTGCCTGGGGCCACGCTGCCAAAACTCAACTTCAACACACCCAAGTTCTTCAAAATAAATGCACTTAGAGAGATTATCAATGCGTCATGGTACATTCGAAATTCGTATATCCACCGTGATATCAAAGTAGACACAATTCAAAATTATATTCAAAAACATAAAAGAAATTTCTTCTATTCAGTTCTCACTCATCCTAACAACTGCATCAACTCTCTTAGATGTTCTCCATTTCCCAGAGAAAAGCATAAATATCCATCTTACATTCTCCATCCTTAACATTTTTTACTCATACTAGATTCTTCAGTTCACTGATCCTGATTCAGTTCACCTTCGACCAAAATCACTGATTCAGTTCGATCACTGATTCAGTTCACCTTCGACCAAAAAGTCACCCTTTTCGTCAGTCACCCACTAAACTTTTACTTTCGTCTTTTTGTTTAACTGATGTTCTTCACGTGATACAGAGTAAAAGGAGGCGCTGCTGTCTGAAACTCAATTTCACTATACGTTTTTAGTTAAGGAGATAGCTTGAGGTTGCGAATGGGCGTTTGGACCCTTAATATTGGGATACCACAAAACTTCCGCTTCCCATTAGGTGGAAATCTGGAATTACCTAGAAGCTTTTTATGCACAACCGGAGTGGTGACCCGTGTCGGCTATGTGATGAAGATTTTTGACTTGCAAATTCCTCTTCCCCCCTAGGGGAGTAGTGGAATGCGTGTTCGGCCTCGTCGCCCTGTTTGCGGGGGCAGGCCGGCCATTGCCAATTGGTGCACGGCTCGCATGATCTCCTCCAGAGGCTGGTACTTTTAATCTGTGTAGGGCGGTCCTAGAGTCCGCCAGGAAACGGAGTCATTTCCCTCTGGCTATTATGCAGTTCATGCAGTTCAAAACACGTGAAAAAACAAAATGCTGTTATCTGCAAATAAAACTCTAAGAGAAATATTTATCGACAGCTTATGGAAAGGTAAGTCGGAAAGGTAAGTTAAGTCCATTTAGCAATTAGGAACTGAAGTTTAACAAAAATTAAGTTATTATAAAAGTTTGTTAAACGTATTTTTTCTTTTCTAATTTCTTTTGTTACCGAGTAATTGAGTAGT